TGTGTGTGTGTGTGTGTGTGTGAGTGTGTGTGTGTGTGTGTGTGTGTGAGACGCAGAGAGAGAGAGAGAGAGAAAGTTACAGGCTTTCTCCTGCGGTTAGTTACTACATTAAACCACTCCACTGAAGCAGATATTCAGTTATTCAGAAGATGAGGAAATTAACGTTCATTTTAAAGTCAATACAACATTTTCAGCCTGTCCAGTGTTGATGACATGTGTTTAATAGTTTATCATTACTGTTGTTTAAAGTGTGTGTCATGTAATTTTAGTGTGCATTGTTTATTTCAGGATAAATTTAGCATCAGGGATTGCCCAAGTTAATTTCAGCTAATCTGTCAGACTTAACTACAGTTAATCAAGCTCAGGATGTTGTGTTGATCACCACAGAACATATTTTCACCCGTCCATGAGTTTGAAAACATGAGTGTAAAACATATTTATGATGTGATGTAATTTCTTTCCACCTCGAAAGTAAACATTTTAGCATTTTAAAATGTTTAATTACAAATAATTAATTATTTAAAATTTTTTTTTACAAATAATTATTAATATTAATAATATAATTATAATGAATAATTATAAATGATTAACTTTTATAGTCATTTATGAATTTTGTTTTACATTTTTACTATAAATAGCAATGTCTACCTAAAAGTGCTTGACATAACCAGAAAAAAAATTTATATGCATAATAAAAATCTCCATGACTTGAATTTTGTTCATTTCCATGTCTTTTCCAGGTCTAAAAATCACACTTTTAAAATTCCCTAATTTTATACAGGTTTAACAAGACCAAAAGAACCCTGGTTCTTAACTAAAAATGATATTTGTTGAGGGAACAAATTAAAATAAGATGCTGAAATGTGATGTCAGCTTGCATCTAAATTTGAAGCTGTTTTCACTTATTTTAAACTTGTTTTTCTTCTTTTAATTCATTTTAAGCCATCCTGCGTCCCCCTGTAACTCTAGAATGATTGCCATGCACAGCTGTAAAATTGCTTTTCATTCGTTTTCAACAAACTGATGGACCATTTAAAATGATTCTCTGTGGTAATTGACCTGAAATCATATCATATTTTTAATTATAACTTAAGCTTAACTTCTAATATTGGGATTCTTTGGAATAATATGCTGAGCGGCAGGTGCTGAAACGCAAGACTTGCCGAATTTTCCACATGTTCCACAGACTGTGCAAAACAAGTTTCTAATCATGCAGTAGGCATCATTGACATGTAAACGTGGTTGGTCGTTTGCTAATGCATCTGTGTGACGTCCAGGGATGGGTCAGGATGATGCAGACTAATTATACAATGCTTTCATCATAGAATAATTCAGTCATTCAGAAATGTTGTTGCTATGCACATTCTTAGTGACATCACAAAGTTGCAGACATTTCAAAAAAAATCTGTTGATGAAGTTTTAAGTTCTGTAAGTTTTTAGTCTTGCTCTTATCTCATATCAAGAAAATAAGGACTCGTCTTAGTAAAGAACCGTAGATGGCGTGCATGGATTCGTGGATTGTCTCATCTTCAGACCTGTGGAACTGATTGAAGCACCCACTGAAGCTGAATGGTGTGTGTCTGTCCTGTAGATGAGGGCAGTAAGGTGTGTGACGGGGCTGTCAGCAGCTGCGGAGGGGATTCGCTGTATCTTTACGAGGGTCAGGACTGGGTCATCTCCCCCTCCTGCTCTCCAGAGGAACCCAGCGCCATCTCATCCATGCTGGCCGAGGAAACCTTCCGCTACATGAGTAAGCCTGTTCATGTGTTTGAATGTTTGGTTGCTATTTCTGTCGTGATTGCCGTTGTTGGGGAAGCTACTTTAAAACTGTAGCCTCCCAAAATACAAGCTACTCATAATTCATAGAGTTAAACTGCAGTCAGGTTGCAGTTGACTGTAGCTTGTTGAGTTTTTTGTGATTAGTCTCAAATAGGCAGTGTTCCTGAAAATATCAGGGATTTTTAAAACTAAAAAATAAAAGGATTTTAAGTTAAGGAGTTATAGACATTTCTTTGGTTCTTGTTATCTAGTTGCAAATTGCTCTTTGTTACTCTGATCTCTATAAAATCATTTATAAATATCCTTATCTAGGCTTGTTGTTTCGCCCAAAGATTTATGATATTCAGAGTTGTTTTTTTAATCATATTTTGATTAAACATTGACAAGGTCAAAAAATGTTTTAAAAAGGAAGCATATGCATTGATGAACTGTTTACAGTAAAATCAATAACATGCATTTAGAAAACACATTTGCATTTAATGCCAACTTTGAACTTGAACAGGTCAATTTAAAATAAAGCATATAAACCTTAAAGGAACACTCCACTATTTTTGAAAATAGGCTCATTTTCCAACTCCCCTAGAGTTAAACAGTTGAGTTTTACCGTTTTCGAATCCATTCAGCCGATCTCCAGGTCTGGCGGTAGCACTTTTAGCTATAGCTTAGCATAGATCATTGAATCTGATTAGACCGTTAGCATCTCGCTCAAAAAAGACCAAAGAGTTTCTATATTTTTCCTACTTAAAACTTGACTCTTCTGTAGTTACAAGTGTACTAAGACTGACGGAAAATGAACTCGGCTGAATGGATTCGAAAACGGTAAAACTCAACTGTTTAACTCTACGGGAGTTGGAAAATTAGCCTATTTTCAAAAATAGTGGAGTGTTCCTTTAAAGGGTTGAAGCATTTAGCCCTGAAATGGACAGTAAATACTTTATTTTATTAGCTTTTATTTTTTTATTACTTAGATTTTCAACTTTTATTTCTCAAACTTAATGTTATTTAGAATGTTTTTGCTTTTATTTTTCATTTTTAATTTGTTTTTATTACAGTTCAGTTTTTATTTTCCAGGATGCACTGCCCATATAAACAGAATAAATAATTCATGTTTGTTATAGGTTAATTTACATACTGTCAGAACAAATTAAAATCAATTAAACTTTCCGATGTTACATAAGGGAGAAAGAGGCATTTTAGGACAGCATGTTTGTTTTTTAACCTCAGTTTGCTCGGCAGTAAAACTGCGTGTACATAGTGATAAAAAATATATTGACTGTAACTATTTTGTATCATTATAATTATTTCATATCATTTGAATTTTAGGTTACACTTTATTTTAAGGTGTCCTTGTTACAGTGTAATTATACATTTAAGTACTGAGTAATATTAATTAACTACATGTACTTACTATATGATTAGGGTTTGGCTTAGGGTAACCTGCATGTTATTATGCATAATTCATTGTTATTATAATAGTAAGTACATGTAACATGTGTAACAAGGACACCTTAAATTAAAGTGTTACCGAATTTTATATAATTATTTTTGTAATTAATAATTTTGTAACAGGACACTGTGGGAAAAGTGGCTTGTTACTGACAAATCTACATTATTTTGAAAACAGCTGAGCTTCTATCACGCCTTTGAAACATGCAGTTAAGCTAGTAGCATTGCTGCTATTGCCCTACACTGGTGTGCATATGCTTGTGTGTGTGTGTGTGTGTTTGTGTGTGTGTGTGTGCCCGTCCCTGGCAAGGGCACAGGAATTCAGTGGTCAGGTCTCTTAAGTGCAGCTGACAGCAGAGCTGGCGGGAGGGAGAGGGACAGATGGATGGATAGAAAGAGGAGAGGAGAGAAGAGCAGTCATGCCGGTGCTAAACATACAGAATGAGGAGCTTTATGATCAATATGCTGCAGAAGGTGAGACCATATCGAGATTCGTACATGCACTGAGCATGTGTGTGAGCGTGTTGTTTTATTTTTAAGTATCTGTGCCGATCACAGACACTACAGGACAATGCAAGGTCATCTATAACGGACAGGGCATGTGGGGTGAACTCACGTCTGTGTGTGAATGCAGTATGTATTGTGTGTGTCTGTTTGCGTCGCTGCATGAAGGCATTGTTGAATGTTTCCTTTGACTTCTTGTGGCAGTTTTGTTGAGGGCATGTGCTGCTCATTTCTGCAGTGTATACAGGAAGTGGAGGCTCGTGTTTCTCTGCGTCTCTGTGACCAACCACTTGTGCTGATGTCATCTTTAAGAGTCGGTCAGTGCTGACTAATAGGGCTGTCACGATTATGAAATTTGGCTGCGATTATGACGATTAATTGCCTGTTTTAGGGCTTTGTCATAGGGCTTTTGTGTGACATACAGTCATGCCTTTCACATTTAGCAGATTGGAGCTGTGCGATGTTTTTAAAAAAAACACACACACTCTAAGTTTTGAAACAGAGCAATTTTTTTCAGTTCCTATTATGACTGTGTATATTTAAAGGGAAAGTTCACTCAAAAAAATTAAAAAAATTTTCATTTGCTCACCCTCAAGTAGTTCCAAACCTGTATGAGTTTCTTTCTTCTATTGAATATGAAAGAAGATATTATGAAGAATGTGGGCAACCAAACAGTTGCTGGTCCCCATTGACTTCCATAGTATAGAATAAAAAATACTATGGAAGTCAATGGGGACCAGCAACTGTTTGGTTGCCCACATTCTTCATAATATCTTCTTTTGTGTTCAGCAGAGCTATCCCTTCAACTACACAAACATCAGGTCAGTGGGTTCATCAAGATTTTTTTTTAGATTGATTTGACGTCAGTGTTCATTAGTCCTATTGATTTGATTCATTAACAGATCTGGTCCATAAGAGTCATTTGTTCATGAATCATGTTCTAATCAGGGGTCAGAGTGGATGGGCTCTCATGTACCTGCTGGACCACTAATGAGTGAGGGAGGGTCTTTAGGTCTCCTCTGAAAAGAGGCGAACACAGCCAGAGACATGCTGAGACGTTTTGCCCTAGTTTTAGGATGATGATGTGATACTAACAATAAACTGAGAGAGATAGAGGGGGCAGATGGAGGCTATTTCAGGTTTATAATCAGAGGGTTGAACATGAGAGGCCATGAACAAGAGCACAAAGTCATATTTTAAAGATTGAGAGGCATAATAGAAGATCCCAATACACCATTTACCAGCTTATTGATGAAAACTGAACATATTTCATAATAAACAACGTTTTCTGTAATGTTTGTACTAGTAAGATTATAGTAAAACCATAGATGGCTCCTTATTACAATGGTTTATGGTCTATATAAACTCAACTGGCAATTTTCACAAAAATCCCATAGCCATTACAGTACATTTTTTATGCGAAATCAGTTAATAGTCCGTTATTTAGTGTTTTATATTCAATTATGTCTAATCTAATTAATTCAAAGTCAAATCAGTTGCATTTAACAGATTAGAGCTGGGAGTTTTTTCTGCAATTACAGCTAATCTAATTAAATCAATTTCAAGTCAAATCAGATTCTTTTTATATCTGTAATAGGCAGTGCTATTTTACTATTATTTATACACTATTATATTAGTAGTTTTTTTAATTAGCTGTCATTTCAGTTTTAATTTTTTTGTATATTTCTTTAATCTTTTTTTCTTTTGATAATTTTATCACATAAACCTAAAAAAAAAAATATATATATATATATAAAATTTTAAATATTTTGCAACTAACTGCATTTATATAAGTTAAAGTTTTTCATCTAATATTAATATTTTATTTCAAATTTATTTCAGTTACCAAAAATGATCTTTAATAGTTTTAATTGTATTTTAGTTAACAATAACAGCACTGGTAATAGGATGACGGGTCACTCAATATTGCAGGTCAAACATTCATGTCTCACTGTTATTGTGTTCTGTCGTCGTTACATGCTTTTGCAAAATCCCAGGTCCCTCATTTTGTCTGTTTTAGAAATTTGCAGCAAACTGCAATGGCTTCTGTGATGGTAGAAGTGAACTGACCGTACGGACACCAGCTGATGGTTCACTGAGATCAACGGTCTCCACAAGTCTGTGATTACGAATGCGTCACTTATTGCTGAGGTTTGTTCATGACGCTTAGTTTATATAAGGTCGTCTGAACTAGATCGAGCGGATCAGAGCATCTGTGGCATGAGTCAGGAGTGTTTTTGAGGCTTGCTCAGTTCATGTGTTTTGTGTGGTAATGGACGTTCAGTCAGTGTGTGTTTGGGTTTGGAAAGAGGAATGTGTTGATGTCAGAGACAAAGTGCTGTGATTGTCAGGATGCTTCAGTTGAGTGAAGAGCACCATCTCGCCTCGGGTAAGGACAGGTGAGTGTGAGTGTGAGTGTGAGTGTGAGTGTGTGTGTGAGAGAGAGAGAGAGAGAGAGAGAGAGAGAGAGAGTGTGTGTATGTGTGTGTGTGTGTATTAGAGAGAGCTGGAGATTGAGAATAAATCATTTCAGTGATTGTATTTGGAATTTTGATGAATGCATGGAAATTTAGCATGTAAAGATGTACACTACTATTCAAAAGTTTGATTTAGATTTTCTTTAAATAAATTCATACTTTCAATCAGCAAGGATGCATTACATTGATCAAAAGCGACAGTAAAATACATTTATAATTTTACAAAAGATTTATATTTCAAATAAGCGCTCTTCTTCTGCTCATCAAACAATCCTAAACTAAAATGTATCACAGTTTCCACAAAAATATGAAACATCACAACTGTTTTCAACATTGATAATAATCAGAAATGTTTCTTGAGCAGCAAATCAGCATATTAGAATGATTTAAGACTGGAGTAATGATGCTGAAAATTCAGAAAACAGTTATTTTAAATTGAAATAATATTTCCCATTATTACTGTATTTTATAATCATATAAATGCAGCCTTGGTGAGTATACAAGACTTCTCATTTGCACTCATTCTTGTTAGTCTGATTAGCTAGATATTAATATATATAGAGTTAGGTTAAAGTTTGGATATTTACAGCAGGTTAAATATTTATCTATCATTGTTTACTTGGCTGTAGTTTGGAGGCAGATCTCCTGTGTGTTTTATTTAAAGTCTAGTTACATGTTAGTGTTGGTCATAAAGCAGATAATCTCTTAATCTGTGTTTCAATCTAAATGATCTGATGGTGACTCTGATTACAGGAGAATATCCTCTATTATATAACATAAACCATTAGCATACATTACTGTTACTGCTGTATGAGTGTTTATCATTCAACAGAGTCTATTTGGTCTTTACATTTCTTTCGGGTTCATCATGAGTACTAGCGGCAGCAGATTATTACTGTAACAGATCAAGAGAGGACAATGGCAATAGCGATTAACTTCAGTGAGTAAGAATGGATTGGCGTCAACATTCAGCATGAACTCTAGCTCTGATCATTTTCAAGAAGATCTTTTCAAGACTTGACTGTGGTTTGCTAGTGCAGAATTCATAAAACCATTTACACTAAATGAACTGATCCACAGCATAAGCTCCAGTGCGTCCTAGGTACATCTAGGTAAACGTGTGTGTGTGCGCGTGCGTGTGTGTGTGTGTGTGTGCGTGTGTGTGTGTGTGTGTGTGTGTT